TGCCCTGTGGAGGAACGAGGTGGGTCCCTTCCCTTTCCCCCCCCCACCCCCCAACACACAAAATCACCGCGTTTTTAGCTGTTTTTATTGTGCCGGATACCTAGCCGCCCTAGCTTGGGTGCGTGAGGGCTTTCGGACCCCTCCGCAGCTGTTTTAGGGAACTATCGATTTCCTGACCAGGCTCGCCACAGCGTGTGTAAAAAAAAACGCTTAGTGGTAGACTTGTATAAGCAGCTGCTCGTCTTGAAAAAGAGGGGAAGCGACCTTGTAAACCCACTTGACCGTGGGCATAGAAGTCACAAGTTAAACCACAGAATAAAGAGCTGGAAAAACCATTGGAGCAGAGCGAGGGTGCCTGGGCGCCCGGTCTGGGGGAGAGCTGATGAAGCAAGAGCACAGGTTAAGGCATTGCAGACTGTGCTACCTAGGAAATTTTTATTATTTTTCTCAAATATCTTGGCTTATTGCCGTGGTGTCTGCAAACTGCTCCCTCACCCAGATGACTGATGCGAAACAATCAGCGATTCCAGACATCAGGAGCTGGTAATGTTAGTGCTGGTATTGTAGTGCTTAACCCACTGCAGAGGCCATGTCAGGAGAGAGGAGGGGAAATGCCTGCTCTTAGACAAGGTGGGATAAAACTGCCCCTGCGCTGTCATTCCCAATTAAAATGGGGTGATGTGGTAGAGGTCCACATTGGTTTCCCATCAGAAGAACTGCTGCACAAGGAGATCTGAAAGCAACCATGATTTTCTAACCAGTGTATGTGTTCCCTCTCTGTAAGGCGTGGATGAGCATGTGTCCTGAAACAGGATGGTTTGGATGCTTTCAAATTTTATACAAGATAGACACTGATTTATTTTTTTTAATCCATATATTGGTTGTTTCTTCTGCTAAACTACATCTCTTGTTCTCTACAGCAGATGAGACATTGCTTCTGTGTTCTGTTGGTTGTTTGGTGGTTCGAGTTGTAGTCAGGGCAGATCCTTGATCACTTTTTTGCACAATTCAAGAGAAAGTATATATAAACCAGAAACAAAATGTTCCCTGCCCCATTCTTCCAGCCATTGCACAAACGAGGACAGAAGATTTATTTAGGATTAGCCCTTAACTCTAGTCCTTCTCCTTAATTAGAAGCAACTGTTCATTAGTTTAGTCTTTCAGATGAAGCCAGAAGATGTAAATAAAGACCTCGACTGTACAGCCAGGCATGCACAAGGGTGTCACAGGGCCTGTCACATTGGGTTTTAGTCAGGACACAATCAGGCTTTGAAGCAGGCTTGAAGAAGAGCAGCTACAACAAAGATGCATTGTATTAATTTAAAAAAAAAAAAAAAAAAAAGCAAGCAGGAGTGGTCTCAGTGGATCAGAAATAAAACCGTCAAAAATCTAAGAAAAAACATCATTATAAGGGAAAAAACTGGCATTTATGGGGGGAAAAAACAAGAGTAATAACAGCATTTCAGAACATGTTCATTCATTTCCACCGTCATCTCTGAGATCTGTGTCTGTTGCTAAAAATACAGGCTGTTTTCCATGGTAGTTTGAAGAAGTGAAGTTTCTTCTGTGGTTAGACAGAAACTGTATACCTGCAACAGTGGATATGATGGCTTTAGTCATCTGTCTAAGGTGGGACCTGCCCAATTTGCATGGAGGACAAAGGCAAAACCACACGGATATTTCTCATTTTCATGTCCAATCCTGCTCTCCGACATGAAGGGTAGTTGGCAGTTAATTCCATCAATAAGTAAGATAGGGTCTCAATGGACTGAAGTCCCAGAAATAAGTAGGAAAAATGCAGTACTAGGACTGCATCACCAGCCCTGCTAACAAGGCAGGGAGAAAAGAATCTGAGGGACAGGAAACACAGTTGTGACTTCAGTAACGCAAATTAAGTTGAGTAAATGTCACAGGACGGGGTAGTTTTAATATCTAATTGCACTAAATTGCAATTTTAGTTTTAGAAACTAAAACTTAACGTTTTAGAAACTACCTGTGACTGCTAGTTGGGAAGACAGAAGAGGAAAAGGGATTCTGGTTTGGTCCTAGAAATTGTCATAATATTACCAGCAAAGAACCACACTGTAGTAGTAGCTGTGGCGTCCTTGGATTCAACACTCTTGTAGTGCCACGAAAAAAAAATCAGTAGTATTCTGCTTTCTTTTCAGAAAAGAGAAGCAATGTAAAACAAGATACATGTTTCATTAAAAGGGGCCTAAAAGAAGGGACTGAAACCTCCTGATAATGAGCCAGAAGGAGCTTTAAGGGTCAGCTTGCAAAAGATATAAAAAATAATAGCAAGTCTTTCCTGGAACAAATCAGGGAGCCTGCTGGAGTTTGACTGCTCTGTAAGGCAAATAGCTTGTTTAATATACAGAAGAAACATCTGGAGAAGAATATAGCTAGGTTTATTTTTGCGTTTGTGAATGGGAAGGATGAGCGTGGGTAAACTCCCCTGCTGGGCAGCTTCTTTAAGGGGAATAATTGGGAAAACATGGCTTGGATTAAAGTGTAAGTACTAAAGGTGAAGAAACACATAACACGATGAGCAGCAGCCAACTGCTGAGACCAGATGGTGTTCAACCAGGAGTTTTCAAGCAGCTCAGAGATGAAGTGGTTCAGGTACTAACTGGTGTCTCTAACTCATTTAAAACTACCCACACATCAGGAGAGTCTGGAGAGTTGCTCGTGTCACACTAGATTTTTTTTTAAGGGTTTCAGAGAAG